AACAGCCACAAGCACCCCTAACATGAACGAAACAGAAAAATTAAGTAGATACAAGCGTTTGTGAGAAAGAGATCACTGCCTACTCGTGATGGTCCATGAGGCCTCATGAAGCGTGTCGACAGACTGACACACTGTGTTGATACTGTGCTGATACTGTGTCGCTGACCACTGCCAACTGCTGGACCTTAAAAATTCCTGCAGCCAACCCACTTGACAGACTGAACTGACTGATTTGATGATGAAGTGTACAGAATACAATATCATTCACATCCATGCATTCGTATTGAATCATTCAATGTGTTTCAATAATGTGAAAATCATGTGAATGAGGATGCTTGTCGGCTTTGTCTTCACAAATTTTTATTTCGAAAAATAAGATGCTCCAGTGTTTTAAATTTCAGTCTGTTGCGTTTCCTGCATGCTATTTCCCCTGCTGTGGAGAACACACACACAATGAAATAAGACACGTCAAAAATCTGAGAGGCACTTGGTGAGACAAGGAGATTTGAATAAATACCTTATTCTCCAAAAGGAGATCAAAATGGCTCTACACGGCGGACAATTTGCGTTTGTCTGGAAGCTGCTCCATAATATGCACGTACTAAAGCAACGTCACTCGAGTGAAGCGCGCCTCAGCAGTTGATAATCCGCTGCTCTCTGCTGTGCGTGCGTGAGCGCGAGCACGTACTCACGGCGCCAACGCAACCCATGTCACATATTGAAGACGCTTTGAACTACGACAACAGCTCGAAGTCGGACGGACACGTTTTATTGATAAACTGTGTGTTTTCCTTTTTGCCCAAATATATATTTTTATTCGAGCAAGGGTGAGGTCTGGCTTGTTTCGGCAGGCGGCATCGTGTCACTAGACGCACTTCCTTATAAACACTGCGTGGCGGGCTTTTGCTGCATCTACGCCCCCTGGACTGCGTCGACACAGTCCAGGCTGCGCCGACACAGTTCACGTGTTGATCACGTGATGTCATGAAGCAGCACACGCACTGACATGTGGATTGCTCTGTGAGCCCGACGCATGCGTCGACGCATCGGTGCCCATCACTACTGCCTACATCAGTAGAGACCTAATGCGGACACATTTGCAATGTTAATGTAGTCGGAACATAACTACCGTAATTCACGTGTACAGTTTTAAAATGCTTCTCCTGGGGCTCCAGATTCCCATTCTTTGCCAGTGCAACTGGTGAATTGCAAACAAACTTTAAAAAAAAAAAAAAAAAAAAAAAGGTATATCACAACAGCTCTGACCAGGGGCGTCACTAGGTTTCAAGAACAAGGGGGGCTTAGCCCCAAGGGGAACACAGCCCCTTTAGGGGGGTCCGGGGGCATGCCCCCCCGGGAGAATTTTTTTCTACATTCTGTTAAAAATCCATCAATTCCGTGCACTTTGAGAGCAAAATGAAGAGGCAATGAAGAACTACACACAACACATTAGTATCCTCTTTAATATGATGGGGCTTCCTCCCCTGGACTTTAACTGAACTAGATAATAGAAATTATAAAGAGTTCAAAAGTTCAATATTGGTTGTTCAAGGGAATTAGAAGGATGCCCGATAACATAACCTATATGACAGTAGGCCTATATTCCTCTCTACCAAAATGTATTAATATATGCTTAGCCCCCAGAAGACTATGTATTTTGAGATGTCTGCCGTGATATGCAATTTAAGTTAGTACAATGAGATGCAAAAGCGTCATCACTTTGGAAAAACACAAGTTTGCTGCTCAATACTTACTGTAAGCTCCGATTGCATTTTGGGAACAGCCTTGCAAGTAAAATTAGCCTTGAGATCTGAT